GAGGAGGAGGAGGAGGAGGAGGAGGAGGAGAGGGAGGAGGAGAGGGAGGAGGAGGAGGAGGCCAGAGTTCTAGCTTCTAGTCGCGTCTGTTGGATGCTCTTGGGCATCCTGGGGAGGGCACCGTTGGATGCTCTACTTGTTTTGGCCGACGGGGGGCCTCGTGTGCCGGAGTGATGTTCTTCTGGCCTAGGCCCGACTGTGGGAGATCGACCGCCGAACCCAGAAGTGCTCGCGTCGTAAGCAAAAACGGCGGGAGGTCTTCAGCCACCCCGGGCCCTTCAAAAACAGTCCAGTAGGAAGAGCCTGGCACGGGGATTGGGTCGGGACTTCCGAGAGGCGCGCATGGAACAAGTCCAGTCTCATTTGTCTGGGAACTTATGTAGCCCAAGATTGACATGGTCGTCGGTTCTACGAAGAAATGAATAACATGTTCTTAGATCTGCGAAGATTCTCGAACCCTGAGTTCCTCAGATCCGGGCTTTGTGAAACTGCTTCGCAGAACGGGCGCCGTTCGCCCGGGCTCGGGCCCCAGGGCCCTCACAGATCGATCTGGTTCAAAGAACGACGCAGAAAAGTTGGGACGAGGACTCCCGTCGTGCCCAGATATCCGCCGGCATGTTTTTTTCAATCCGCGGCCCCAGAGTCCCGACCGCTTCCCCGGTGGTGTTTTTTCGTCCGGGATCCATTTCTGATGGTCCCCGGGCCTGACAACGGGCTCCCGAGGCCGAAGTCCAGCAGATACCGTCGGATTGAAAGAATCATCTCTTCGGACATCCGGATGGTTTCTCGCGGTGGTGCAGCGTTTGCGCAACATCTGATAGCAGGGGGAGGACGGAGGTGTCGTCGCCGCTTTCTGTTGGCTCGGGGGGGGGGGGGGCGCCCCCCGCCCCTTCGGGCTTCAGGGGGTTGCCCCAGAGTGGATTTTCCTTCGGGTCTGCGAGACGTACATGACGTCGTCGTTTTCTTATTCCTTGTTCTGCCGATCGGCGCGGGCCCTCGCACCCACCCCTTGCCCCCCCCATGGAGCAGCTCTTGACTGTTTTGGGCGCCTGTTTCGAGCAGGCGGGGCCTCTCCCCCATCCAGCAGGGGTCGGGAGCCAGGCCCCCCCCCCTCCCCCCCCTGTTTGCCCAATGTCGACACGCCGAATAAGAAAACGCTCACCCACGGAGCATTCGACGCATGTTCCGTCCATTCGACGGAAAACCCAATTCGGGGGTAAAGCAGTGCTGCAGTCCATACCTTACTCGAGGAGAGGGCGGAGGTGTCCTCGCCGCTCTTTCTCGGCTCGGGCGGGGCGCCTCTTAAGGGGCTCTCCCCGGAAGCGGGCTGGGTGACGCTGTTTTGTGGGCGAGGGGCCGCGGGGGAGGGGTGGGCAAGAAAGTCTGGGGGGGGTCGAGGATTGCAGGCGAGTGTATTTTTTTCGAGCCAAAGCAATCCTCGCGGCCATGCTTGGTTGATATATCCTCTGGTGTGATGTGGTCTGATCACAACGAAAACTGCCAGGAGACTAGGCCCAGTCGGCTTGGCTGCTGGATTTTGTCTGGTAGACTTGAGCCGGCTCGGAAGATAACATACAAATCACACATGAAACTGGAAAATGTGTAAGAGTGTCTGGAAAGCTCGAGAGTGGCACAAACATGGGCCCCAAATGGCTTCTTATTTGCAGCCGTAGGCCCCGAAGGTGCGCAAAAGGTGCGCGTGTCGCAGTCCATGTTCCCAGGCCCCTGCGGGTCATGAAAACTTCCAGGCAGTAGTTTTTTCTATGTTTTCGGCCGTTGGGTGCCCTCACTGGCCCTCGGGACCGTCAAAAAACGACTCGGGATGGAAAAACCTGTCCTGGGGAATGGGTCCAGACCGCTGGGGATCCACGCCATACAAAATTTGCGACGTCGGGGGGGTCTGGGAAGGTTCGCGAAAGGTGCACTTGTCGCACTCAATGTTTCTTGCCCCCCCCGTAGACGAGCAACCGAAAATCCGGCCCCCACGGGAGGGAGTCGGGCTCACGAGAGGGTGGAAGTCACTGGGGAAGATAAGAACCATGGGTTGCGACCCGGGCGTCTCGGACAGATGTTACGGCACGGTGGGGCTGAGAGTTCTAGACCCAGACATGCGACGTCTTAATTTTTTCAGTGCGGCGTCCCCGGAAGTTCCGACCCTTTCCCAGCAACCCTTTTTACTTAACAGCTTTTGCTGATAGGCTTCTAGTGGTCTCAAAAGAAAGCAGCAGATGACTCCACAGGGGGGTCGGGGCGGGATCCGGATCGGCTGCCGCCGCGGCTGCCGCCGCATTCGTTTTTCGCAAACAGTCACACACACTTCGTGCTCTTCGACCTCCCAGAACTCCATTCCCGGGCCACATTCTGAACGCCCGGAGCCAACTGTAGGCCACTTCGTGCTCTTCGACTTCCCAGAACTCCATTCCCGGGCCACATTTTGGATGCCCGAAGCCAACTGTAGGCCACTTCGTGCTCTTCGACTTCCCAGAACTCCATTCCCGGGCCACATTTTGGATGGCCTGAGCCAACTGTAGGCCACTTCGTGCTTTTCAAGTTCCCAGAATTCCATTCCCGGGCCACATTTTGAATGCCCGGAGCCAACTGTAGGCCACTTCGTGTTCTTCTAGTTCCCAGAACTCCGCTCCTGGGCCACATTTTGAATGCTGAGGCAGGCTGATGCTGCGGCCGATGCAGGCTGAGGCTGAGGCAGGCTGAGGCTGAGGCTGAAGCAGGCTGATGCTGAGGCAGGCTGAGGCTGAGGCTGAGGCTGATGCAGGCTGAGGCTGAGGCAGGCTGAGGCTGAGGCCGAGGCTGAAGGCAGACTGAGGCTGAGGCTGAGGCTGAGGCTGAGGCTGAGGCTGAGGCTGAGGCTGAGGCTGAGGCTGAGGCTGAGGCTGTGACTGCGACTGCCGTTGCCGCTGCGACTGTCATCGCGAATGCGACTACGACTGCGAGAACAGCAGAATTCTACAACTGGATTTTCATCTGAATCTTAAGGGGAATGCTTTCAGATATGCTTCTACACATCGCTGTTAGGTTGCTTTGCCGGGATAATTTCATCCCGGGTAGTTTTTTCACGCTCCCGAGGCCCAGCGAGGGCCCCCCGAGGCCGAAAGCTGCCGCAAACCTTCCGCCCCGACTTTTGCTCCGACGCGAGCACGCCTGGGCACGCGACACCGCGCGCGGCCCTGCGCTCCCCACCGCGTGCCAGACCCCAGGCGACGGCGCGGCCGCGCCGCTGGCGCCCCCGCCGCCGCCCCGCGGGCGCGGCTGCGGGCGGCGCTGCGGGGGCGCCCGCGGCGCCGCGGCGGGGGCCCCGACCCCTCTAGGGGAACAAAAAGTCACATAAACATAAAACTCGGAGGTCCGCGCGGATTTCTCGGATCGGCGCTGGACCCCCCTCCCTGGCGCGCGGAGCGCGCCAGGGGCGGCGCCGGAGGCGCCGCCGGGGGGGCCCCAGCGCCGATCCGAGAAGTCCGCGCGGACCTCCGAGTTTTTATGTTTATGCCACTCTTTGTTCCCCTACCCTCGCTGCTCGTGCCCGTGTCCTTCGCGGCTGCGCCGCCGCGCCCCCCGCGGGCGGGGCCCGCGGGCAGGGCCCGCCGCGTGCAGGGCCTCGCCCGCGAGGCGCCCCCCGGCGGCCCCGGGGGCCCGCCGGCCCCACCGGGCGGGGACCGCCAGAGGCCCGGCGGCCGCGGCGCGCCACAGAGAGGCGCAGACCCAGACCTCCTCCTCCTCGGTCTCCTCCTCTCCTTCCCCTCTCCTCTTCTCCTCGTCCCCCTCCTACTCCTCCTCCCTCCTTCCTCCTCCTCCTCCTTCCTCTCCTCCTCCTCCTCCTCCTCCTCCTCCTCCTCCTCCTCCTCCTCCTCCAGCGGCAGCCCGCCACAGAGAGGCAGACCCAGACCTCCAGCCCGCCACAGAGAGGCAGTGTTACGAAATGTGCGGCATGCAGCTGGTTTCGGCCTCACCGAGGGGCCCATTCCTCGATGCATAGCCGCCTCCGGCGCCGGGAGGCGCCGGGAAAACCAGCTACGTGAGCTAAGCCCCCCCTTTGCTATCCCCCCCTTTCGCCCGACCCGACACAGAGAAGCAGACCCAGACCTCCAGCGCATGGAAGAAGTCAGGACGGAGGTTTTGCTCGATGTTCGGCCTCCAGCGGCCCTCGCTGGGCCTCGGGACCGTCAAAAAACGACTCGGGACGAAAAGCCAGTCCTGGGGAATGGGTCGAGACTTCCGGGGACCCCGTATTGAAAAAATCACAACATCGGATCTCTGGGGACACGGACACCCTTCTTGCGGTCGAGGAAACGCATAAGACTCGAGTGGCTCCGGGGCTCGGGCTTGTCAGCGTTTTTTTGGCGAGCGCGTCCTGGATTTTGGCGGCAGCCCGCCACAGAGAAGCAGACACGGACACCCTCTGCGGTCGGGGAGACGAAAAAGACTCGAGTGGCTCCGGGGCTCGGGTCTGCCTGCGTTTTTGTGGGCGGGCGCGTCCCGGATTTTGGCGGTCTGGTTTTTTTTGTGGGATGTCTGCAGCGGGAGCTCGGGTCAAATTTCGGAGTGGGTCTGATCGTCATTTTCGTTGATGGCCCCGTCAGGCCAACCCGAGTCCCCCGATCCCGAGTCTTACGTCTCCCCGATACTGGATTGTTCCTGGGCCTCAGGGGAGGGTGGCGGTGCATCAATCACCACTGGGAGCCAGCGACTTTCTAGTTACACCGTCCCCTCCCTGAAGGTACGGCAGGTTCGTGTCGTGTCGACCGGCGGCGACCCCGCCAGTGGCGTTCAACTTTGAACGCCGCGGGCGACCCAGAATCGCTCGATGTGGAACGATCTGGACGTTTCGGAAACGGCCGATCGTTCAAGGTTGAACGACCCCCGCGGTGTCAGAAACCAACGCCGAGGTCGGCACGACACGAACCTGACGTGCATGCAAAGTTCGTCGGACGGCGTCTGTGTCTACACGTGAGTCAGGAGGAGGAGGAGGAGGAGGAGGAGGAGGA